TTTAGCACCACAGAAAGTCTATCAATCATTTTTAAAGCATGAGATACGAGACAAAAGTGCAGAATTTCCCTCTGTTAGTTGTAGTGGAAGGTCGTTTCAGTTGATTACATGTTGGCCTTTTCCCATAATGTGGTCATTAAATGATCATTTTTACGTCACTACACTGAACTCGGTGACTGATAAAGGGGGAAAAAAACAAGACGTTCCAAGTTTAGCAAAACTAATCTTAAAAAAAAGAACAAAAAACCCATAAAAACACCTGTTGAAAGGTCAGATTGTAGTTTCCACATTCTTGCAAATTCATGTGATGACAGATTATCATCTTCCAAATAAACTGATTCAGACAATCTGATTTAGCGACTGGCAGGGTTGCAATCTCTGCGTCTGTCCGACTCCTCCTGGTTCTTGTCCCGAAAGGGTAACAAAGACTGTCGGGCTGGCGAAAAACAGGCTTAAAACAAAATGTGCTTACCAGAGAAGCTGAAAGGGTGACTATTAAGAGTGTCTTGTAATACAACAGAACACAGAAACGGCACCTACCTGTCACTGAAAGCAGCCACGCTTTTAATTGTCTTAATTTTAAGCCTTAATACAATATAAATGGGGAGTAATAAGAAGTTTAAGCCATGACAAAGGACATTTGCTGTTCTTTTGTTTTTATCTAACCAGCCTGTAAACTGGTAAATTGGCCTTTAAGTGTCCAGTTTAGGAGCTGCGGTTCTGCTTTGTTTTCATTTTTCAATGCACCACAGGTTGCTGCTTGGTTCTTCCACACCTGTGATACTGCCTCTCTTGCTCTAGTGTCTGCACCATTATCTAAACTAACCAAAAAACTATGCAAAAAAAGTCCAAGCATGATTTCTAATACTGTAATTTTCACCTCTGCCCTGAAAATAAGAACGCACTAACCACAGATCAGCTATTTCTAAGGCTGTGGGACAGGATTTTATAAAATAAAGTCATGTATGTTAACATCGGAGCTTTTCTTTTAGTCATCAGAATGAATAAGGCATTTCTTCCAGCAGGAATGTGGGTTTGCATAAATGTAACTGATCTGAGCTAACTGCACTGAGCCAGGTTCAGTTTTTTTTTTTCTTTTGCTGGTCCGTTCATGTAAACGATAGGGTTATAATTTCTCCTTTTTCTTTTTCCTTATTTATTTTTTACACGGGACCATCTCGGGCCTCAGAGTCTGCTGTGCGTCAGTCCACATTTGAACCGTGAATGACGACCGGCCCAGCAAACTTATAAATAAAATCACTGGATCACTGAAAAAGACATCAAGGCCGTTTTATATTTGGAGCTCCTTTCTATATGACCTTCATGGGAAATAGAAATATTGGTGTTGAAACAGGAGAATGTTGTATCAGTTTCTTTTACATTCACACACCTGCTGAGGACAGAAATTACCAATAAAATGTAACCGTGCACAAGCCCAAGAATCCAGCAAGTCTAGACATGCCCCATACTTTTCACTTCACCTTGACTGATCCACTGCGTCTTATCTGACTCACTCTAACCTTGCCGCCCACATTTTGAAAATTTATCAGCTTTGATTTACTGATGTAAAGAGGGGGGGACTTAAATGCACTCTTCAGATAAGAGCCACACACTACAAGGAGGAATGTCAATATTTAGATATTGAATTAATCTGCAGGTCAGTGAAGTAGCAAGAAAAAGACCCTACAGGGCCGGAGCATGGGAACTTGGATCTGCCGCTAAGTCCCTCACGAGTCTTTGTCCTTGACTTCCAGCTGGCTGCGTGTTCTTGCCTCTGTTAAACCAATAGGACGCCTAGAAATAGTCTTGGCTTTATGTGGCGACTGTAAACTGAGAAAGTATTCCACTATTTTCCGTCCATGGCTTTAGTGTTTCACAGCGAGGTGGATTTTTTTCCCCTCTCTCTCTCTGTCTCTCTCCCTTCCAGCCGCTATGGAAAAAGAAGAGCAGAGCCACACAGTTTAACTGCTGATTGTACTGTTTGGATTTATGCAAATCCACGTCTGAGTGCGTCCAAGTTGAGTTCGGTTTACGTCCCTGTCGTCGGCTGTAATGCGATTATCCTCGCTCGCCGAGGGTTGAATGTGTGGAAGTTTGCGTCTTGTCATTAGGACTGTAAATGACAGGGATGCATGGAGAGACAGACAAAGCGCAGGAGGTGGGACAGAGAGGCCTGGTGGTGAGAGTGGGGGTGGAAAGGGTTAGCTGCAGATTTGAGCCATACCAGAGCTTTACTGCAGGCCACAATAGCATGTGTGGTGATTATGTTGAAGGCTTGGCGTCCAGGGCCCGAGCCTCCCCCTGAGGACTGTTGTGCGTGGGGGCCGTGGCTTTCGCTTTCAGAGTTTTTCCCTCCTTCTTGTGGCTTGTTAGATGTCTTTGTTCTCGGGGCGAAGGTCAATTTAAAAAGAAATAAAAAGAAGTAAGGAAGGCGGAAAACATTACCCAGGCACTTTTTCATGTATGACCTCTTCCTATACCGCCGCCCTTCCTTTACTTTTTGTTGCTGTTGTTTGTTTGTGTTGTTTTTCTGGCAACTCTCAGTGTCACGCGTGGATCTGAAAACCGGCAACGCTCAGGAATTTACATCCCTGCTAATTTTAGCATCGGGTTCCTGACCAGAAAACACACGCTCCAATTTCTGTCTATATCGGTCTTCCTGCGTCTTTCCGCTGCTGTTCCTCTCAGCAGCACTCCAGGCTTTTGCAAATTATTCTGCTAAGCTAACTCTCCTCCGAGCCCCTCAATTTTCCCATTTTCACCGCATTCTCAACTAGAACATCTTACATGTCCTGATCCAACATTGCTCTTTGAACACTGCCAAAGCTCCTCTCCAGGTTTAATCCACGTGAAAACAAACTAAGCTGCTGGAATTAAACGATTTAATGAACTTGTTTAATAGGATAGTAGCTGAGGAGCAAATAATTATTACCGGCATCAAGCGTTTCCCAAACCGCACTGCTGGGATCTGTTTGATGTTAGCGCAGGCGATATGAGGGGGCGAGTGGAGAACAGTAACACATGCTGCTGCCGCTGGCCTCGTCTTTCCACAGGCTCCTTGTATATTTTGAAACGACGACCCTAAAGTCACTGCACATTTGCGATAATCACTGTGCTGATGTCATTCACTTAGAGTGAGCATACACACACACACACACACACACACACACACACACACACACACACACACACACACACACACAC